AAGCAGAAAATGAGCAAAAGGAGGTTTGGATGTAAACTAAGGACACACGCACGCGCACACTGCACACACCCACACACACAAACGTACCTTTTGTTAAGGCTCTCAGCTTCCTCATCGGTGATCTGACCTCCAAACAGCACCTTACCAATTCCGTCCGATGGCTACCCCAAAAGGAAAATATGAGTGTGTGTGTGTGTGTGATAGAGATAGATAGAGAGTGTGTGTGTGTGATAGAGAGAGAGAGTGTGTGTGTGTGTGTGTGTGTAAAAAGGGTAGCAAAAAACCCCAAAATGAGAAATAATTGAGCATTTCTGAGGTTCGATTTGGATCAATGGAAGGAGAGCGACGTAATGTCGGGAACTTACCTGGTTAAGACGGGCGGCGGGTCGAGAGACGTCGGCGGAGGAGGGAGCTTGGGACGGCGGAGACTCCGTCCAGGTGAGCAGATCTGAAGTGGAGGTGTGAGACTTCCGAACAGGCGTTGTCCTCTCCATTCTCTCTCTCTCTCTCTCCGCACTGCGCAGCTCGCCTTTTTGAATTCAAACACTTTGGGTTAACTCTACTGAGACTACAGTGTGTTTATTGGTTTCACGAGTCCCTGATTTCAGGGATTTTAATAACTATTTTACCTATTGAGGATTGATTGCTACACAAAGTAGCATTTGAAATTTTACTTTTGCACCCTCGAATTCATCGTATTTGGGTGAGGACTAGGCCTCTAAATGAATCAAGCCGAGCTCGAGCCCTTAACAAGTCAAGTTGCGTTGAGTTCGACTTATTAAATAAACGAGCCAAGAATTGAGTTCTAGCTCAGCTCGTTAAGGCCTCGAGCTCGAGCCTTAACGAGCAGATTTTGATTTTTAATCAACCAAACTATAAAAAATTATATAAAAATTCTCATTTCGAGCCTTAACGAGTCTTATTGAGCCGAGCTCAGCTCGTTAACTAAACAGGCTTTAAATGAGCTCGTGCTCGACTCGTTGAGACTTCAAACTCGAGCCAAATTGGAGCTAAACGAGCTTAGCTTGAGCCGAGTCGAGTCATGCATGTTTAATTTAACCATACTAGCGAGGACTTCAGGCTTTTTTCGTCTTAGGTGCATTTTTTGTGATAGGTATAATTTTTTGTTTGTTTTGTGTTGTGTGTTGGTGAAACGAGACACTCGATAGCTCGACTAATTAGTGCATGTTTGGATACAAGTTTTTTCAAAAAAAGTCAATCATTTTTAATCAATCACCTTTTTTAACGCAACTCAATTACCATCAATATTATCAAATAATAACACTTATTTATTCTTACACATTACATCAACTTTAATCCACTATACATCCACTCACATAATATTAACTAACAATCACTTCACACACATTTCTTCTACTTTTACATTAAATCAACTTAACTATTTTATTTTAAATATTATTTTAATATAAACTCAAAGTCTCACTAACAACTAATTATACTACTTTCAAAATTAACCATATCAAACTAAAAAATCCAAACAAAATCAAAACATCTTATATCCAAGTATAAAATGAGTCAGACTTGACTTTTGTTGTTTTAGTTAACGGGTCATATCTCAATAGAAATACAAGAACTTTTACATAATTTTTTAAAATCTTAATGTCGTTAGTCTCGTTAAGGCTTGAGTTTAGTTTGCTGATTTTAGTAAAGGAGCCAAGTTCAAACATTGTACCCAATTTGTTTAGTTAGTGACCACAGACGAGTTCGAAGATAAAGTGTTTAAATTCGGTTCAACACGTTTATATGCGTAATGCTTAGTGTCATGATCATATTAATTAGACGGCAACTACATTTGTATTTGATATAAACAATGAATGACTTGTAGGTGTATGTAGAATGTAGGTTCAATTCAACAACTAATTTGCAGTTGATATATACAATGAACGACTTGTCAGCTAATTACAGAGTTGATTGATTAATAAATGAATAATTAGTTACTATAATCAAACTATGTGACAACATTGTATGAAAAGAGTTATGCTATATGTACATAATAATGTACATAAGGGGTACATAACACTCACATTGAGTGGGACCTACAAAAAATAGAAAACTAAGTGGACTCCACTCCATGTGAGTGTTATGTACACTTTTTATGTACTTGTAACATTTTTCGTATGAGAAAGTCAAGTGACACAAAAATCATAATCGGCATATTGTACCTTATTTGATAAAACAAACTGAAAGTTATAAGTAGCCTTGAAAACTCATAAAACACAAGATTAATAGGTTCAATTGATGTTTGGAAGGATTTGTATCATTGGCCGAGAATAATGAGCCTAGTCATGATAACAAGCTCATTTTTTTCAATCAACAATTACTACCAAATATTTTGGATTTATTTTCCCAGTATACTTAAGATGAACTTTATAATTTGATCATATTCAACTACTTATGCACTTCTAAAGCTTTTATTTGCATAGCAAATTCACCACAAGAATATCATCCACCAAGACGAAACACAACAAATGACCATATAATAGTGTTATAAATAAGCCAACACTAAAATTTTTCTAACTTTAGCAGATTAAACATTTG